GTTGTATGTTCTCCTCTTGTATATGTGTTTGTTTTTGTTTTGTTTTATATGTGTACATGGTTGTGTCACGTTTTTTATGGTTGTTTGTATGATATTCTGTTCTCTTTTTGTTGTGTTGGAGATTTTTGACTTTGTTGTGTTGTAAAAGTGTTGTGTTTCTGTTAAGTCTTCTTGTTTTTGTTTTTCTTTTTTTGAGACTGTTATGTTTTTGCTGTCCAGGCTGAGTGCAGTGTGTCTGTGTGCTCTCACTTTTTTCATTGTTTCAGGTTCAGCGGATTTCTCCTGCCTCTGTCTCCGAGTAGCTGGGGACTACAGGTACGTACACCAGGCCCAGCTAATTTTTTTTTTTTTTTTTTTTGAGACGGAGTCTCGCTCTGTCTCCCAGGCTGGAGTGCAGCAGCGCGATCTTGGCTCATGCAAGCTCTGCCTCCCGGATTAACACCATTCTCCTGGCCTCAGCTCTTCGAGTAGCTGGGACTACAGGCGCCCGCCACCACGCCACCGGCTAATTTTTTTGTATTTTTAGTAGAGACGGGGTTTACCGTGTTAGCCAGGAATGGGTCTCGTAGTCTCCTGACCTTCGTGATCCACTAGCCTCCGCCTCCCAAAGTGCTGGGATTACAGCGCCCGCCACCCACGCCCGGCTAATTTTTTTTGTATTTTTAATAGAGAGGGTTTCACCTGAGACCGGCCAGGCTCGGTCTCAACTGCTGACCTCAAGTGGTCCACCCGCCTCGGCCTCCCAAGTGCTCAGATTACACGTGGAGCCACCACACCTGGTGATGCACCTTGGGTTGTTCCTTTTTAGCTCTTTTAAACAATGCTGCTATGAACATGGGTGTACAAATCTTCTTGAGACTCTACTTTTTTTTTTGTTGTTGTGTTTTGAGACAGAGTCTCACTCTTTGGCCCAGGCGGAGTGCAGTTGGTGATCTTGGCACTGCTACCTCTGCCCTCCCGGGCTCAAAGCATTCTTCTGCCTCAGCCTCTGAGTAGCTGGATTAGAGGCACACACCACCATGCCAGGCTAATTTTTGTATTTTTAGTAGAGACGGGGTTTCACCATGTTGGCCAGGCCCGAGTCTCGAACTCCTGACCTGGTGATCCACCTGCCTCGGCTTCAAAGTGTTGCGATTACAGGCATGAGCCATGGCACCTGGCCTGATGTTTCTAATAGTTGCATTATAATGAGGATGAGAAAGTATATATTTTGAATATTGATGACACCTCACCTTATCATCCCTGCGGAAAACAATCACTTTATTTATTTGTGTTGTTTGTTTTATTTGGAGAGACAGGGTCTCCCTAGTTGCCACCTGTAGTCCCAGCTACTCGGGAGACAGAGGCAGGAGAATCGCTTGAACCTGGGAGGTAGAGGTTGCAGTGAGCCGAAATCGGGCCACTGCACTCCAGCCTGGACGGCAGAGGGAAACTGCGTCTCAATAAAAAGAAAGAAAAAAGAAAACGATTGTCTTTGCTTTCCTCTTTCCCCTGTGCTTCTCCTCCACCCAAAGGAACAGATTGTCTCTTTACTCCTAAAGGCGTACAGCGGACCCTCATTCCATAATTCACCTCCTTTACAGGCTATGAGTCACAGGAAACGCAATAGGTTCATTCACAGTTCAGAGGGACGACATCAGGCTTTGGAATCAGGGGAACCTCCTTTGAACTCTGGCTCCACCTGGCGGCAGCTGTTGGAAGTAAGCAAGTTGGGGGGTTCTTCATCTGTGAAGCTGGGCTCTTGCTACCTATTTCACAGAAATGTCATATGAGATTTAAATGCATTACCTGTGTAAAGTATAGGGTCTATGGTAGGCAGTTATTTCCAAAGGGTTATCTGAGGGAGATAGAGCTTGGCCAACAAGAAGGATGCTTCCTAGTATGTTCTGCTATCTCTAAGCAGTGAGACACATCACAGTATATATTCTTGGAGAAGCCCTGAAGGTTGATGATCATGTTCTCGGGATGCAGCGACTGTGGTGACCAGCACAATAAGCCTCAGCATTCACATTGTGATTGAGCTCATTCAAGCAAAGTTATTTTCAGTAGGTGTGCTCTCCCTTCTAGAGAGCATGCACATTTTCATTTTACCAGTCCTCAAACTGATCCTTTCCTCATATTATAGTAGTAAAAACACACCCCTGGGTGGAGATTTAAGATGCTGAATGAGGAGGTATGAACAAGCATATACAGCTACTGCGCATGTGCACCCAGAAGACCACCCAGAACGAGCTTACTAGTGACACTTCTTCCCATCTCCCTATGAATAATCGTGTGAGACTCCCATGAAGGGACTCTGTGTCAGTCTTTGCTGTCTAATCCTTACCAGCAGCCCGCCCTGAATCCTCACACTCTTAGGGTGTCCTGTCTATTCTACACCTAACTTTTTTTTTCTTTAAGACAGAGTCTCACTCTGTCACCCAGGCTGGAGTGCAGAGATGCGATTTCGCCTCACTACAACCTCTGCATTCCGGGCTCAAGCAATCCTCCCACCTCAGCCTCCTGAATAGCTGGGACTACAGGTGTGCGCCACCACACAGAGCTAATTTTTCTATTCTTAGTAGAAACGGGTTGCCCAGGCTGTGGCATCTAACTTACGAAATATTTTTTCTTTTGCAATAAATTACTCTATGCTATACTTTTTTTTGTTGTGTCTCTTGTTTAAATTCTTTTAAACCAAGAAGAACCGAGATATCACAACAGCCGTCAACAGAAGTACAGTCGGCTTTAGTGTTCCATCCTTTGGCTACTAGGGTGTCTCCCGTTTCCATCACTCTCTCAGGCTGATTCATTTAGACTTCTGGAAGATATCACCCTCAATCTGGATAAAAGAACTGAGATCCCAACTCTTGTGCTACTGTGTGTGCATGTGTGTGTGCATGTGTGTGTGAGAGAGAGAGAGAGGAGAGACAGACACAGGGTCTCACTCCATTGCCCAGGCTGCAGTGTAGTGGTGCAATCACAGTTGACTGCAGCCTTGACTTCTTAGGCTCAAGTGATCCTCCCACCTCAGCCTACCAAGAAGCTGGGACTACAGGCATGCACCACCACACCCAGCTAATTTTTGCATTTTTTGTAGGTACCTGGTTTCATCATGTTGCCCAGGCTGGTCTCGAACTTCGGAGTTCAAATGATCCTCCTGCCTTGGCCTCCCAATCCCTGGGATTACAGGCATGAGCCACCGTGCCCCGCCCATTCTAATCTTTTTTAATGACTGGCCCAGGAAACACTGATCTTCACCTTGGAGGGATTCCAGGCGTGGACTGACCTTCACAACTCTCCTACTCCAACCAAAAGCAATGTACCTAAAGCTTCAAACACTTAAGTTATCTTTGGGCCCCTTTCCGAAGAGCTTATATTTCCTTGAGAATTCCCATTTACAAAGCAAAGTTAACCTCTGCTCCTCACTGGCAAGAGACTTAGCTTTTCTGCTTTAAGTTCCAAGGATAATAATTTCTCTCTCTAAGAGCTGTCATGAAGATTAAGTGTGATAATTAAAGGGACCCTCTTTAAAAATAATGTGGTACATGGCCGTGCGCGGTGGCTCACGCCTGTAATCCCAGCAATTTGGGAGGCCGAGGCGGGCGGATCACGAGGTCAGGAAATCGAGACCATCCTGACTAACACGGTGAAACCCCGTCTCTACTAAAAATACAAAAAAATTAGCCAGGCGTGGTGGCGGGCGCCTGTAGTCCCAGCTACTTGGGAGGCTGAGGCAGGGGAATGGCGTGAACCCGGGAGGCAGAGCTTGCAGTGAGCCGAGATCGCGCCACTGCACTCCAGCCTGGGCGACAGAGCAAGACCCCGTCTCAAAAAAAAAAGAATGTGGTACAAGACCTGAGTTCAGTTACATACTAAACAAAATGTAGCTGGCCGGGTGCGGTGGCTCAAACCTGTAATCCAGGACTTTGGGAGGCCGAGACAGGCGGATCACGAGGTCTGGCTAATCCGGTGAAACCCCGTCTCTACTAAAAAATACAAAAAAACTAGCTGGGCGAGGTGGCGGGCGCCTGTAGTCCCAGCTACTCAGGAGGCTGAGGCAGGAGGATGGCGTAAACCCGAGAGGCAGAGCTTGCAGTGAGCTGAGATCCCGCCACTGCATTCCAGCCTGGGCAACAGAGCGAGACTCCGTCTAAAAAAAATACAACAACAACAACAACAAAAAAAACAAAAGCAAAAATTAGTCAAGCGGGGTAGCACGCGCCTGTAATCCCAGCTACACAGGAAGCTGAGGCAGGAGAAAATACAAAAATTAGCCAGATGTGGTGGTGCTCATCTGTAGAAAAAAGTAAAAATTAAATAAATGTAGTTTTCCTCCCTACCCGTACATTGCAGCCCTCTCTCTCTGTATCATTCACAGGGAAAGGGGTGAGTGGAGAAAAGATTTAGTCGTGTTACATTTATTTATTTACTTATTTATTTAGAGATAGAATCTCACTCTGTCACCCAGGCTGGAGTGCAGTGGCAGGATCCCGGCCCACTGCAACCTCCACCTCCCCGGTTCAAGCAATTCTCCTGTGTCAGCCTCCTGAGTAGCTGGAACTGCAGGTGCATGCCAACATGCCCAGCTAATTTTTGTATTTTTAGTAGAGATGAGGTTTCACCATGTTGGTCAGGCTGGTCTCAAACTCCTAACCTCAGGTGATCTGCCCATCTCAGCCTCCCAAAGTGCTGAGATTACAGGCATGAGTCACCGTGCCTGGCCAGTTGTGTTACTTTTAGAAACCCATTGATATACAAATAAATAAACAGAACAAAAAAAAAAAAGAAGAAGAAGAAGAAGGAAATAGAAACCCATTGTTATATTCCTCAAGCCTGGAAGCAGCCTGGTGCACCTGGAATCTAAGAGAAAGGAAATGCCTAGCAAAGGTACTGAAATTGCCCCAGACAGTTTCTCTAGTGGGAGATCTTTGCAAGTGATGGGCCCTGAGAAGTCTGACCAAGGGTTCTCTTGTCTCAACAGGATCTTTTGGAACCTTCCTTCTCCTTGGGATCCCCAACTTCGGATACCACAGATCTCAGCTTTTTTTGTCCCACCTAAGAGACAAGGTGGTTGGCCAGGCGTGGTAGCTCACACCTGTAATCCCAGCACTTTGAGAAGCTGAGGCAGGCGGATCACAAGGTCAGTAATTCAAGACCAGCCTGGCCAATATGGTGAAACCCCGTCTCTACTAAAAATACAAAAATTAGCCGGGTGTGGTGGAGGGCGCCTGTAGTCTCAGCTACTCAGAAGGCTGAGGCAGGAGAATCGCTTAAACCTGGGAGGCAGAGGTTGCAGTGAGCCAAGATCACCCCATTGCACTCCAGCCTGGGTGACTAAGCAAGACTCTGTCTCAAAAAAAAAATTTTGTTTAATTTAAAAAGTGGTTTGGACTTCTTAGATCCTGAGGGAGAAGAAATTAGGCAGAACAGGTGTAGGAGACCCAGTGGAAGTCCCTAGTGGAGAAGGAGAACAACTCTGACAGGTCCTCAACTAGGTGTTATCAGAACTTTTTTTTTCCTTCTTAAGAGCCAGGGTTTCACTCTGTTGCCCAGGCTGAAGTGCAATGGCATGATCATAGCTCTCTGTAACCTCAAATTCCTGGGCTCCTGCCATTCTCCTACCTTGGCTTCCCAAAGTGCAAGGATTACAGGCCTGAGCCAACACACCTAGCCAAAACTCTAAAATTTAAACCTTTATTTTAGCCTCAAGCAAGTATTCTGAACCCAGAGACATTGAATTGAAAGAAAACCTTCATTAGGAACTAGGCCTCATTACCTTGCCTTATGTGTTATTTTTCTCTTATATTGTGAGTAGAATATTGTATTACTCTGTTAAAAGCATCAGTTTCTTAAATGCAAACACTAAAGATATATAACTATTTTTGTATTCCTCTTTTGCTTTTGTTTTGTGTGGAGATGGGGTCTAATTGTGTCACTTAGGCTGGGGTGCAGTGGTGCAATCACAGCTCACTACAGCCTCAAACTCCTGGGCTCAAGAGATCCTCTCACTTCAGCCTCCTGAGGAGCTAGGACCACAGGCGCGCACCACCACGCCCAGCTAATTTTTTTTTTTTTTTTCATTTTTGTTTTGTGTTTTGAGATGGAGTCTCGCTCTGTCGCCTAGGCTGGAGTGCAGTGACGCGATCTCGGTTTACTGCAACTTCCACCTCCCAGGTTCAAGCAATTCTTCTGCCTCAATCTTCCAAGTAGCTGGGATTACAGGCTCCCACCATCA